AACAGACTCAAGATTTTCGAGCTTTATTCCATTGCATAATGTGGATCTGGTGACTTGAACTGATCAACGAACCCACGAGCCTCAGTATTAAATGGCGGTTTGCTAAAATGGTATTTTTTTCAGCACTGAAATTCGCATAGCAGTAGTAATACTGCTAGTAAGCGGCGTCAAAAAACTTGTACTGCAACAACCATAGTAATTTGAAGATACTTCCAGCGGCAGTTGTTCCCAGCTTTATACGAATTAATTTTGTATAAGTGGTTCTGGAAGAACCACTTACAGTAGTCGGCGAAACAGGCGATGGATCTGCACGCAGTAGCGATGGAACCGGAGCAGTATCCAGTACAGACTGCTACTTCACCAGGACAGCTCTCTGGTGGTGGTCTGAAAGCACGAAATTCGCTGGGCCTCAAACTGCAAATCAGTGCTCCTCCTGCTAATGAAGCCAACAGAGTGCTCTGGACACTGGATGTTTGTTTCTCCCAAATTACAATTTTTAATAATTTTGAATCAGATTGTTCTGGACACTGTATGTTCGTTTCTCGCAAGTTACAATTTTTAATAATTTTAATTTCTTGAAAACAATTCGGACACATGTTTTTTTCAGAACAAAACATTTTGCAGACACCGGATGAATCGTCGCCGACTTCACTGAGCCCACAGAAGGATGCGCGAAGCGATGATTCCGGCTTTTCATCCGACGAAAATGCACAGTTTCTCATCGAAAAAATTAGCAAATTGTTAGTTTCTGTGCAGTAGAGCTGTCAGCCAACGAGAGCTGGTGCCCTTTTTTTCAGAATGTCTTTTCTTGAATGTTTTAGTAACTGATTTATTATATTTCTCGTTTATACGATAAGATGATAAGAAAAAGTGAAAATTGTTGCCGGTCAGTTTACTCCATTATATTATTAGGCTGACCACAGGGGGTATTATCAGCGGATTCACATGGATCTTATGAAGGAATAAAGCCGAGGAAATGAGCTGAATTCCGAAGTCTTCGCAACGCAACGGAACTAAATTTGTTCCTACTCAGTTGCTGAATCTGGTCAGAGAGTATCAGCTTCGATTATGCCCCTTTTTGGTAAATTGAAAAAACATTTAATAAACGTGGGAACGGATGCGGTACTGCAAATTTTACAAAAGAATGGAATTTGTGACCGAAATAGTTAATGAAGCAAATACGGACTGATTGGCCGATACTGCAGTGTCTAATCCGCTTAAAAGTCGAGAATGTCACTAGGCAAGAGGACCTCGTTGCCAACCGCAAAGCCCGTTTTGACCCAATATTTGGCAAGCTGCTTTGAAATTTGGTTTGAGCACATTGACGAACAACTAAACCAGTAAATGGCGAGCTGCTAAAGCACTTATGCTTCGCGACGACACAGCTTTCACTGCAAGCAAAGCTCACAAAATGGGCAAGAAAATGCAGCAGCTAAACACTCGATGTAAGAAAATAGATAATATCAGCACCTCAAAAAGGAAGATGTTGTGAATTGCCGCTATACCCACGGCCAGGTTGCAGACAGACATTGCTAACTTGGAAGAAATTGACAGCTGTGTACGATTCCGTCCAAAAGTGTTTGTACGCTACAATCTGCAGGCGATGAACGCATGCAGAAGGGATGTCGGTTGGCTCAAATTTTACAGCATCGCCGATGCGCTTAGGATGTTGAATTGAAAGGTTACGGTATTGATCTCTTCAACAGTGCCATATTGAAAGCTATCGTACATAAACACTAAAAACGGTTGCAACACTTATTTACTGATGACTGATAAATGTTACTTCGCAAAAAGAGGTATTTTCGAGAAAGAGGGCAATCACTCAAAATTCCAAAGGCTTGGTGCAGATATTAAGCACGACTACAAGTGGAGTATGTATCTCTGGACAAAAAGGCATGACGTAGTTGAGTCGGTATGTATTACCTCACATCACTGGACTTTTACACTGGCAGTTCCTGGATCTCCTTTACTTGCTTATAGCTGAAAATCATGACA